AGTTTATAATTATACCAGAAAAAAAAAATTCTCATAGGTCACCTTTACAGGTTGCTAGGGAACCAACTCATTACTCTGAAAACTGGTTTAAAAAGGGAAAGAATCAAGCATTTGTCTTTTGTATATGAACTGTATTTCAGGGTAACTAAATTGTTGTTGAGGGAAAGGTCTTCTTTTAGAAGCATTTCAGCTAATAGATGAATGAGGAATGATAGAATTAGAATACCATAATTTTGCAATCATAGAAAAAAATATATCCAAGCACTGATCACCAATGGCTGTTGAAACTATTAGGGGAAATGCTGATGGGGAACTCTCTAATGGGTGGATTGAGCTGGCAATACCTGAACCCCCTAATTAATCCTGACATTACAAAAATGGGAGAGAAGCAGACATGTGCCCCTGATGAGATGCAACAGGAAGTTCACAACACCACCTTTGAAATAACCTTGTCAAAATATCAAGCAGGAATTGATCAAGGCTGTGGATCTAACAGACACTTTTCAGGAAATACAGGGCTTAGGGAAACAGGTTGAATGATACCACAGGGGGGATGCAATCAGCAAAATTCAGAATGTGGGAATCTCATCAGGACAAATGACCCAGTTTCTCCAACAAATAAATTAGAAAAAAAGAAAAGAAAAGAAAAGAAGGCAGGGCAGCTTGTAAATGAAAAGAGAGCCACTAGACATATTAGCCAACTGCAGGTGTGGACCAAGTTTGTATACTAATTTAAACAAATTGTAAAAAAAAAAAAAAAAAAAAAAATTACGAGAAGATTGGAGACATTTGAATTCTGAATATTTGCCAATATTAAGGAAGTTTTTTAGGTGTGATAAGAACATCAGGGTTATGTTTTTTTCAAAAAAACAATCCATTTTTTGGAGCTACATACTAAAATATGTATGAATGAAATGATGTGAAGTCTGGGATCCATCTCAAAATAATTCAGTGAAATGGTAGAAAACAGGGAATAAGGGATAGGGAGAAATAGATGAAATGGAATTTCCACACATTGATAATTGTTGAAGCCTAATGATGATCCATTACATTACTTTCCCTTTTTCGTATATCTTTGAAATTTTCTGTAATATAAAGTTTTTAAAAAGTGGGTGTGAGGGTGGCTAGGTGCAATGGCTCAAGACTGTAATCTTGGCACTTCGGGAGACCGAGGCGGGCGGATCACTTGACTTCAGGCATTTGAAATTAGCCTGGGCAACATGAGGAAACCTGGTCTCTACCAAAAGAAAAAAAAATTAGCCAGGTGTGGTGGTATGCGCCTGTAGTCCCAGCTACTCGGAAGGCTGACTTAAGCCCAGGAGGCAGAGGTAGCAGTGAGCTGAGATCATGCCACTGCACTCCAGTGGGCGACAGAGTGAGACCTCATCTCAAAAAAGATAAATAAATAAAAAGTGAGTGCAGGGGGAGCCAATCACATACATAGGCGGCATCATAAACAAAGGTTTTCTTTTTCTTTTTATTTTGAGACGGAGTTGTGCTCTGTCACCCAAGCTGGAGTGCCATGGCACGATCTTGGCTCACTGCAACCTCCATCTCTCGAGTTCAAGTGATTCTTCAGCCTCAGCCTCCTGAGAAGCTAGGACTACAGGCGTGCGCCACTACATCTGGCTAATTTTTGTATTTTTTGTTTTCATGGGTTTCACCATGTTGGCCAGGCTGATCTTGAACTCCTGACCTAACATGATCCACCCACCTCAGCCTCCCAAAGTGCTGAGCCACTGTGCCCAGCCAAGAAAGCTGGGATTACAGGCATGAGCCACTGTGCCTGGCCTAGATCATATTAGAGTTTTAAAGTTGGTATTTGTCTAATATTTCACTAATATCTTTCTCCTAATGGTAAAATTCCTGTGTGCATTAGTCAGGATAAGCTGACAAGGTCTAGATCTCAGTCATTTAACATAAATAACACAAACGAAGGTTGATCTTTTACATGTGTCACAGTCCAGTATGGAGTGCAGGAGAAAGAGGCCCCTTGGCCCTCTGGGGCCTCTGTCTATACCTCAGAGAAGTCCTTCACTGAATCTGCATGAAAGGCATCCCCATCTGAATGGCCTCTGACTGGAGGTGACACACATCACCTTCATTCACAGTCCATCAGCAAGGACAAGGAGATAAGGAGAATGTCAAGGAAGGCAGTGCTGATGTTTTAGCTTCAGAATAACCAGCTAGTCTCAGCCACACCCATTGTTATGAATAGTAACAATGCATTATTCTAGTTAAATGAACAAACATCCACCCCAAAGTGCTGATGCTAACGTAGAAATTCCAGCATCCCAGAGAGGCGAGGGAGAGGGAGGTTTGTGGCCCGATGCCTTCCTGGTTCTTTGATAACTCTGTGCAGGTAGACTCCTCACTTCACCCACCAGGTGGGAACTGCTTTCAGAGCAGGAATGTTTGGATGGGGAAATATTCAGCTATGTGTCCTTTATATAAAGAGCTGGAGGCCCAGGGTTTTTATTTTTATTTTTTGAGACGGAGTTTTTCTCTTGCTGCCCAGGCTGGAGTACAGTGGCGCAATCTCGGCTCACTGCAACCCCTTGACTCCTGGATTCAAGCAATTCTCCAGCCTCAAGCTCCAGAGTAGCTGGGATTACAGGCATGCGCCACCATACCCAGCTAATTTTGTATTTTTAGTAGAGATATGGTTTCTCCACGTTGGTCAGGCTGGTCTCGAACTCCCGACCTCCGGTGATTCACCAGCCTCAGCCTCCTAAAGTGCTGGGATTACAGGCATAAGCCACCGCACCCAGCCAGCCCAGGTGTTTCTAAATGAAGGAAGGGAATCCATGGATGTGCTTCAAAGGTTTGGTGATTCCCTGGAAACCATATGTAAAATTTTGTATCCGTGTGCAATTTTCTAGGAAGAGGGTCCATAGTTGGGCAAATAGAAGACATTCAATAAATATTCCTTCTAAAAACTCACAAAAGGGTCTGTGTTAGGGTTCTCCAGGGAAACAGAACTAATAGGATATGATTATAAATAGACTTATTTTAAAGAATTGGGTCACATGACTGTGGAGGTTGTCAAGTCCCAAACCTGCAGGGTGGGCTGGCAGTCGGGAGACAAGGAAGAGCCAAGGCTGCGGTTAAGGTCTGAAGGCTGTCAGGCCGGATAATCCCCTCTTGCTCAGGAGGAGTCAGTCTTTTGTTTTTCTCAGTCTCTTAGTGGATTCAAGGAGACCCACCCACATTAGGAAGGGCCATCTGCTATACTCAGAGTCCACCAATTGAAACCTTAATCTCTCGCTAAAACACCCTCACAGAAATGTCCAGAATAATGTTTGACCATATACACCTGGGCATTGTTACTTAGCCAAATTGAGACATAAAATTAACCGTCACAGAGTTCTTGATCCAAACAAAAGGCAAAGGTTAGGAACTACTGTTTTAAGAAGTTTCCGCCATTCTCCCTACCTCTCATTAGCTAGTCTCTATTCCTGGTCCAGCTTCCTCCCGAGGCACGTAACCACTCCCTTCTAGCAACTTTCCATCTATTCCACACTGAGAGAACTGGAGCAGGAATACCCAAATGAACTTTCGTAAATGTTAAAGAATTACTTTTCTCCAGTAATTTTTTTAAAAGTCTTGACAGAATCTCTAGAAATGTTACTTAATCAAAACATTTTAATTTGATTTTAATAAAATCAAAACATTTATAGGGCATGATGGCTCACACCTATAATTCCAGCACTTTGGGAGGCCGAGGTGGGCAGATCACAAGGTCAAGAGATCAAGACCATCTTGGCCAACGTGGTAAAACCCTATTTCTGTTAAAAATACAAAAATTAGCAGGGCGTGGTGGCTCATGCCTGTAATCCCAGCTACTTGGGAGGCTGAGGCAGGAGAATCACTTGAACCTGAAAGGCGGAGGCTGCAGTGAGCCAAGATTGTGCCACTGCTCTCCAGCCTGGCAACAGAATGAGACTCTGTCTCAAAAAAAAAAAAAAAAAAAAGAAAAGAAAAGGCAGGTGCGGTGGCTCATGCCTGTAATCCCAGCCTTTGGGAGGCTGAGGCGGGCGGATCACAACGTCAAGAGATCAAGACCATCCTGGCCAACATGGCGAAACCCCATCTCTGCTAAAAATACAAAAATCAGCTGGGCATGGTGGTGCACATCTGTAGTCCCAGCTTCTTGGGAGGCTGAGGCAGGAGAATCGCTTAAACCTAGCAGGCAGAGGTTGCAATGAGCTGAGATCGCACCATTGCACTCCAGCCTGGTGACAGAGTGAGACTCCGCCTCAAAAATATTTTTTTATTTTTTAAAATCTTCATTTTCTGTATGTGTTAGTGATGGTATAATTGGCTAAGGTATATATCTTTCAGTTTATATTTTACATCCCTGCTTCTAGTCATTTGTCTTGAAGAAATCCTCTAGCCAAATGAAGTTCCTTGAAATCACAGATTATTCCTTATTCCTTTGCAATTCTCTACAGTGTTAAAAATGCTACTGGCGCAGGAACAAACACTCATTAACTGGTAGTGTTGTCACATTCTGCTTTATTTGACTCCGCTAACATTAAACCACCAGCTAGCCCTGGTATTAAAAATAGTCCACATTTATATTTCAGGTTGTCACTTAACTTTGACATCTCTACCTTGATTTCACAGAAAGAGCTGCACATATAGAAGACAGAGGCAAGGCTGGGGCAAGAATCTTCTTACTTTCTGGTTATTTGTTTGCATAGGTAAAGTCCAGGGATTTAATGCAGATATTCTCTTCCATCCTCCCTTAGCCTAACTTAATCCTCATCTGAAAAAGTCCAATGAAGTGGGTTTGCCAAAAAAAAAAATTCTTTCTGCTCATTCTCCTGCAGTGCTTCTACTCACGTTGTAATGTGGTATGGCTGAAACTTCCCTTCTTTGCCCTGGGAAAGAAAGGATCTTCTGTTTCATGAAGTATTAAGGGACCTGGATGGGTCAGCGATGCTCTATTAATATAGAATGAGATTATTCACCAGCTGTTGTTTCCTTGCTTTCAGCAGAGCTATTGAAACGTTTGTAAAATAGCAGAGGGTTCCAGATGGGAGAAGCCATTGTTCAAAGTCCAGACCACCCAGCGGGCATGTCAAGTAATGGGCTTCACATCTGACCCCTGCAGAAATTTGATAACACATTAAGGGTGTCAAATGATTGGTCTGTGCCATTGGAGAAAACACCCTCCTTTTCCTTCCTGCTGACTTCTTTTTACCCATTATCTTCCCTCTCCTCTTGTATGACCACAGATTCTCCTAAAAATCTATTCAAAAGAAGTTATTAGAGTAAGTTAACGTTAAACTCAGTTAAAAAGATGGCAAATGTTGCATTGATATCAAATTTGTCTTTTGCAGCCCACAATATGACCTATTCATGTATTTGCTTTTCATGGACTCATAAGATTATTCACAATGGAAGAAACAATGGCAGAGAAAGGTGTCTATGCAGAGCAGCAAGCCCCTCAAATTTCATGTGCATGCAAGTCAACTGGGGTGTCTATTCAAATGATTCAGTAGGTCTGGGGAGGAACCCAAGAATCTGCATTTCTAACAAGCAGCCAGGCGATGAGTAACTCTTTGAGCGTTAAGGGTCTGGATTGATCGCTGTTTAATTGCTTCCATTTTGTAGCACATCTGTCAATTTGCCCAAGCTATAGAAAATACAGGGTGACAAACTTGCTTTTCTCCTTAAAGCTGAATTCCTTAATGCTTTGTTATAGAAATATATGAGAATACACCATTCACCATTATCTCTTTTTTTTTTCAGATGGAGTCTTGCTCTGTCACCCAGGCTGGAGTGCAGCGGCATAATCTCGGCTCACTGCAACCTCCGCCTCCCGGGTTCAAGCAATTCTCCCACCTCAGCCTCCCCAGTATCTGAGGTTACAGGCATGTACCACCACGCCCAGCTAAATTTTGTATTTTTAGTAGAGACAGGGTTTCACCATGTTGGCCACCAGGATGGTCTCCATCTCTTGACCTAGTGATCTACCCACCTCAGCCTCCCGAAGTGCTGGCCTTACAGACATGAGCCACCTTGCCCAGCCCATTATCCGTTTATTTTTAGAAAAAGTCCTTTTTACTGATGATCATTCAACCCTCATTACCATTTTTGTTGATTTTCTACTGTGAGCACAGGATACCTATTCTCTATCTGGATGTAGTATACTAAGCTATAACCACCTTTCCCAGGAAATCTTGTGTTTGCTGGGAGTGGCTTTTCCAGAAGCCTCATGACAGGAAGGGTCTGATTCCCACTCTACCAATTAAGAACTGAGGCCCTGGGCAAGTTGTCTTGCCTCTCTGATCAATTGCTGTACCACAAATAGTGTGCACTGTGTGGGGGAAGTGATTAAAAATTTTGAAAAACAAATTAATTATTATTATTTTGTTGTTGTTGTTTTCTTTTTAAAAAAAAAAAAATATATATATTTTTTGAGACAGAGTTTCACTCTTGTTGCCCAGGCTGGAGTGCAATGGCACGATCTCGGCTCACTGCAAGCTCCGCCTCCGGGGTTCAAGCAATTCTCCTGCCTCAGCCTTCTGAGTAGCTGGGATTACAGGCATGCCCCACCACACCCAGCTAATTTTTTTTGTTTTTAGTAGAGACGGGGTTTCTCCATGTTGGTCAGGCTGATCTCGAACTTCTGACCTCAGGTGATCCACCTGCCTTGGCCTCCCAAAGTGCTGGGATTACAGGCATGAGACACCACACCTGGCCTATTACTATTATTATTATTTTTTTATAGAAATGGGGTCTCAGTATGGTGCCCAAGTTGGTTCAAACTCCTGGACTCAAATGATCTTTCCTCTACGGGCTCCCAAAGTGCTGGGATTATAGGTGTGAGTTACTGCTCCCTGACGGAAAAAAAAAAATGTTTTTTGAGCGGGAAAGTAGAACTATCAACTTCACAGGATTATTTTAAGCTTAAATGAGATAGTGTATGCAAATTACTTACTATTTTACATGAAATAAGAAATAACCCTCATAAATCCCTGTGAAATGCTCCATAAACCAAGCTTAAAAACAAACCACTGAAATTTACATTCAGAACTGCTAAAATGTGGGCCAGGCGGGATTGGGTGGTCAAGGTGGGCAGATCACCTGAGGTTGGGAGTTCAAGACCATCCTGACCAACATGGAGAAACCCCATCTCTACTAAAAATACAAAAAAAAAAAAAAAAAATAGCCAGGCATGGTGGTGCTTGCCTGTAATCCCAACCACTTGGGAGGCTGAGGCAAGAGAACTGCTTGAACTTCGGAGTAGAAACTGTGATGAACAGAGATCATGCCATTGCACTCCAGCCTGGGCAACAAGAGTGAAACTTCATCTCAAAAAAAAAAAAAAAAATTGCTAAAATGTTTTCCTGTAAACCATCATATCAGAAGGAAATCTTTCCAAAACACCTCCCATCCCCTGCCTTGTTTAATGGTGTCTACTGAATTCATTTTAGCTCTTTCCTCATGACTCAAGGTCCCTGTTTTGCAACGAGTGACTGCACTGTCCTGGAACACAGGGATGACCTCAGTCAGGGGTTTTTCTACTGTCTACTCTCTCCGCCCTCTTCCCCACCTCCACACTCATAGCCCTGTTCATAGTTCCATAATATCACTTACCACACCGTGGCAAAAATATCTGTTTACCCAGCTTCTTGGCCTAGGACCCCTTTTCTCTGAGCAGGGGCCAGGCCCTCAGTAAATGTCTCCCCAGGCCCCATTTAAAGGGCTGGGTGTCCAGAACTCAGCAGCATGGCTTGTGTTCAATCATTCCGACACTTTAAAATGCCTCCTTGTCCTCGGCCAAGTACTAAAAGCACTGCTCTGTTTTATCTTTTCCAGATAACCAAGGACAGAAATTACATTCCTCTGTAGAATCTTGTAATGGTTTTCAGTTACTAAAGGACCAAGAAGATATTTACTCTTCTGGTAAAATTTAAGCCCAGTCTGTCTTCTTTGCTTTTTCATTTGGGGTCTTCGTTCTGCTTTCATTGACGGCAAGGATATTGGAACCAGACAGCCCTGGGTTCAGATATTAATCTACCATTTGGTAGTTATCTGACTCTTAGTGAGTCACTTAAATTCTCTGTTACTCAGTTTCCTTATCTGAAAAATGGGATAATGCTCAGGCTGCAGAATTGCTGTTCACGTGGAGACGCAGTAAAAGTAGAAAGATGAGTAAAACTCCTCTAAGGAAAGAGTTTTGATACCTCTGGCTTTGATAACCTTGCTAGGATTGGGGCAGGGGTGGGACTCTAAAGGGCCTTCCTGAGTAATATTAGATGGATCTTACCCAGACTTTAAGAGTATGGCCTAGTCATAGTTGGGCATTGCATTTGCAGAGCACACAGGTGAGTAGGACACCAAGCTACTCAGGGTGGCTGAGTCTGATGGTTTTCTTCCCAACAGCCATTCTTGCATTACCTTTCATCCCTTCTGTCAGAATCTGCTTTCCAACTCCAGAGACTAAAAATGCCAATACAGGTTGAACATCCCTAATCTGAAAATCTGAAATCCAAAATGCCTTAAAATCCAAAATGTATTGAGTGCCAACATGGTACTCAAAGGAAATGATCATCAGAACATTTAGGTTTTTTTAGGTTTTCAGACTAGGGATGCTCAACTGGTAAGTATAAAGCAAATATTTTTAAATTAGGGAAAAAAATCTGAAATCTGAAACACTTCTGGTCCCAAGCATTTTGTGGTACTCAACCTGAATAATTTTTTTTTCTTTTTTGAGACGGAGTCTCACTCTACTGCCCAGGCTAGAGTGTAATGGCACAATCTTGGCTCACTATAATCTCCGCCTCCTGGGTTCAAGTGATTTTCCTGCCTCTGCCTCCTGGATTCAAGTGATTCTGCTGTCTAAGCTGAATAACTTTTACTGTTAGGATGTGAGCATGTAACCCAACCCCGGTGGAGGAGTTTAAAGGTAAGTCTTCTGAGATGTTTCTGTGCAAGTTTTTCCTTTATGATGTCGGGAGGCAGATGTAGTTATGTGTGGACATAATTTCTGGAGCTATGGCAGCCTTCTTGTGACCATGAGGGAAACTCTAAGGATGAAAACCAACAGGCTGGGGATGGCACGAAGGAAAATAGAAAGCACATGGGTTGGGTGCTTGATGATACTGTTATGTCCCTTAATTAACTAAGTCTGAAAATGGTACCCCCAGAGATAATAAACTTTATTGTTTAAGCTTTATGTAGTTATATGTTCCATTACTTGTTACTTTAGTATGCATTCAGCATGCAGTTGAGAAGGCTAAGCTTGGCGGGCATGGGGAGAAGGAGAAGACTTGACGGTAACACAGCAGAAAAGGAAAAGAGAAAAGTTGCTTCTGTTGTGGGGAGCACTATAAGTCTCTACTCCACTCCTTTGGGGAAGCCTGAGTCAATTCCACATGGCTTATGAATACTTTTGGTGTTCATGGATTCTTCTGGGGGACTTGAAGAAGAATTGAGATCTACATCAAGAATCGTGCCCAGCTGGAAATAGCTGCACTTCTGGGATACATAAGAATTTGAGATCATATGCAATAAATGATAGATGCTGTTATTACTATATTATCAGTATTATCTTAGCCCCTGACTGGTAGGCAGAAAAGAGGTAGAAACTAGATGCTCGTGGATGGGACTGTACCCTATAGTTGTCCTTGAGAAGAAGCTTATGACCAAGGCTGTATGAAGACAGCAAGAGGACTGAGTGGCAATTGGCAGCAGCCTCAGCGGATGGGCAGCTCTGCTACTTAACCTCTTACCAAGGGACTCTGCAGATGGAGCAAAAGGCTGGATCCCAGTTAGCAGAACAAAGGCCTGAAATCAGAGCAGCTCAACAGAAGTCTGACTTATTGTTTTGGAACGTGGCTTCCTGAATTCTCCCTGACAAGAAAAGAACTGGTTCCAGATCTCAGGTTGGGACTGACCTTCAATCTTCCAGACAGAAATGAAGTTACCTTAAGAATGTTATACACTGACCGGGCATGGCTCACACCTGTAATCCCAGCATTTTGGGAGGCTGAGGCAGGAGGATCATTTCAGGTTAGGAATTTGAGGCCAACCTGGCCAACATGGTAAAACCCAGTCTCTACTAAAAATACAAAAATTAACTGGGCATGGTGGTACACACCAATAGTCCCAGCTACTTGGGAGGCTGAGGCAGGAGAATCACTTGAACCCAGGAGGTGGAAGTTGCAGTGAGCCAAGATTGCACCACTGCACTCCAGCCTGGGCAACAGAGTGAGACTGTCTCAAAAAAAAAAAAAAAGAATGTTATACACACACCACATATGTAGAAATATATAAAAATTCTCCTTGTCTCAGTCTCCCTTTTTCTCTGTATGTGCATATCTCCTTATCTTAACCTCTCACAAAGGGCCTCGAGTGCTAACCTAATTCACCCAGACAGCTACAGGGAGTCCTCAAAGCCAGGGATTTGCTTTGGTCAATGGGGTATCAAAGGACACAACATACACCATATTTGAACTGAAGTTTTAAAGAGCCATTGGGTATTTTGCTCTTTTCATTCTGCCACAGGGATGACAGGTCTTGCTTGAATGGGGGCTCCTCCTACAGCCTTGGTCCCTGAATGTGAAAACACATGGAGCAGAAGCAGAGCCTTCACTGATAGGTGACGGCAGACGTCTAACAGCAGAGTGAGGAACATTGGTTGTTACAACCCCTTCGATTTAGGAAGTCATTTGTTACTGTGGTAAAGCTGACTAGTAAATCCAGGCAATCACCCAGATTGCCAAGCTGGGAGAAATCATAAATCTTTGTTGTTTTAGGCCACTACATTTAGGGTCTTTGTAAGATAGGAATAGATAGCTGGAGGTTGTGTGGCTTGAGACACTGAAAAGGTTCAGGATTCAAATGGTGCCCGCAGGGTCCAGTGTCCCCACTTCTCTTAACTCCACTTCACCTTGGATGGGCTATTACCCCAGCTCTATGTGGCAGACTCCAGCAGCCTTAGATGATGCAGTATCTCCAGACTCATGTCTTTCCATGTTCAAGTCTAATAGAAAGACAGCTTCTTTTCTAGCCATGCCTACAAAATCCCTGAGATTCACTCTGAATAAATAGACTGGCTGAGGTCATGGTTCCACCCGTGAGACACTCATTGTGGGGGTGGAGATGGCAGTAGCTTGAGAAGGAGGTGTATCTGTTATGAGTCTCTCAGTTGCAACTCAAACGGCTAATTTAAAAGGGGAATTTACTTAGCCACATAACTAAAAAAAAAAAAAAGAAAAATTGATGGATAGTTCCAACTTCAGGTGTGCTATGATTTGGAGCTAAAGTAATGTCGTCACTAGGACTCACCTCTTGACTTTTCAAAATTACTCACACTCTTGACTTTTCAAAATTACTGGCTCCCTACTGGGAATTATGAAAACAAGTAGAAGTGGGTTTTGATGACAGTAATAGGTTCCAATCAAATGTTTGGGTTCCTCATTTAATTTGGTTTCTACACGTAACCATAAACTATAGGATGTTAGTCTTGATGTATGGTCACAGGTTTGTGTGTAGCAAGGAATCAGTGTCCATGTAAGTGCATCTTTGTTTCAACTGCCAACAGAGACAAGAGTGTAAAATGGAGCCAGATTGCCCAAGCTCAGATTCTGGCTCCAACACTTCTTAGCTGGGTGACCCTGGGCAAGTTGTTTAACCTCTCTGTGCCTTGGTGTATTCATCAATGCTCTCTGTGCATTGGCGTAAAATGAAAGATGATATTCTCTACCTACCACATAAGGGCCATTGTTAATACATGTGAATCACTTAGAATAGTGCTTCAAACGTATTAAATGCTCAATGAATGATAGCTATTATTATTTCCATTTCTACAGAAAACAAATGATTACTAATAAAGACATTTTTTCAAAAATGACCATTTTAGATGGCAGGGGTTGGCTTGGTTCATATTTTTTGCTTGTCAGAGAGAGAGAGAGTGATTAGAACTGTATTTGCTCATATTATGCATCAGAAAACATTCTTTTATATTATTCTGCTGTGTGTTTTCACCTGCCTCTGCATGTTCCCATCAGTTACTGAGCTGTAGTCTTCCAAGATCAATAACTCCCTTTATTTGTGCTTCTTTGTATGAAAGAAACCCTACATAAAGCTTAACTAAAGCTATAGGGAGGAGACAAGCTAAAGGTTTCTTAGATTAGTATATTTTGCAATCTAGCTTTGAATAGTAAGGATGGAGCATTGTCTTCTATCTCCTTTATCTTCTCATTGCATAATCTTGCTTCTATTTTTTGGGCGGGGGGAGCGGTGGAAGCTTGAAAAAACTTGACCATCCAAATGTGGCATTAGCAATTATTTGAACTTCATGTCATGATGAGTTGTAGGTTACTCATAGCTTCTCAAAGTTATTTTTGTTTTAGTTGTATTGTGTAATTGTGGCTGATAAACAATTGTTTGGTGAATCTGCACTTATCCTGGCTCTGGTTGCAAACATTCCTTACTGTAATATGTCCCTCTGTGAGACTGGCAAGATTAAGCTCTGTGGGCACATTATCCACAGCTCTGTCTCTCAACTTCGGATGCTATTATACCAAGTTCCATATTGAGATGAAAAGGGGAAGAGTGGGTAGGGCTAGAGAGATGCTAGATAAGTTGAAGTGCTTTTGCAAGTACTGGGATGTATAATTTGTGTGTGTTTTATCTCCAAGCTAAAGTAGGGTAGGAAGATGTGAATTTTGCCTCATTGCTCTTCGAGTCAAACTTAGATTGCTGAGAGACTTCTTGTACAAACACAAACATTTGCTGAACATGTTCCTGAATTAAATGTAAGTGATGGCTTGGGAATCAGAAATCTTCTGGGACAATTTATGAGTTTAAACAGCTACCCGAATCTAAGGTTTTTCCAGGGCAATTCAAGTTGTTTTTCTCCTAGAGAAGGAACAAAAATGTGTAAGTATTCTAT